TGTATCATTGTGCACAGAAAGAGCTTTAATTACTTCTATTTATCTACATTTCTCTATGGGGGGGTGTCAAGGCCTGAGTGAAGGACAACTTTGTGGCGTCAATTACCTCCTGCCACTGTTTGGGTCCTTTGGTCTGGACTCGGGTTGCCAGGGTTAGTGGCAAACAACTTAACCCAAGGAGTCATCTTTCCCGTCTGCCCTCGAGTGTGTGGTGTGTGTGTGTGTGTGTGTGTGTGTGTGTGTGTGTGTGTGTGTGTGTTTATATGGGGGCCAAAAGAGGATGCTGAGTGTCCTATCCAACTCTTCTTGGCCGTATTCCTTTGAGACGAGGTCTCTCTGTGAACCTGGTACTGGACTAGAGGCAAGCAAGCCTCAGCAATCCTCTTGTCTGCACTCCTCCCTTCCTCCTACAGTGCTGGGTTACAGCTGTGCATGGCCACACCTGGCTTTTTACATGGGTGTTGGAGATTTGAACCCGGGCCCTCACAGAACTGGGCCACCGCTTCTTCCTCTTGGTTTGTGCTGTGCTCCTGGCAGCCGGTACTAATGAAAGGCGAGTCAAATGAGTCCCTGTGTCTTCCTGATGAAAGCATTCCTGAAGAGAGTCCTCCAAGAGGGAGACAGAAGCTGGTACGCTTCCTAAGAACTAGCCTCAGCAGTCAAATGCTACTTTAGGCGACTGTACTTCGTAAAGGTGCTAACACCCACAACTGAACCTCTTCACGTCCACGTTCTCATCCTGAAATCCATTCCAGTGGCAGATGCCCAGGACACAGGGACACAGGCAGAGGCCCTGAGATTATTCTGAAAGGGACTGAGGATACACTGCCTACAATGTCCAGCTGCAGTTCCTGCTGCTAATGAAGTTAATAAAAATTTAAGGGGGTATTTCTAATGTTTCTCCATAAGAATTATGTTAATAATTTTTTTTTGAGACAGGGTTTCTCTGTGGCTTTGGAGGCTGTCCTGGAACTAGCTCTTGTAGATCAGGCTGGTCTTGAACTCACTGAGATCTGCCTGCCTCTGCCTCCCCAGTGCTGGGATTAAAGACGTGTGCCACCACTGCTTGGCAAGAATTGTTAGTATTTTTATGGATACTCTTTCCAGTTAACAAGCTCTCCCGTCTCTTCTACTTTTTTTCTCCAGACAGGGTTTCTCTGGGGCTTTGGAGGCTGTCCTGGAACTAGCTCTGGTAGACCAGGATGGTTTTGAACTCACAGAGATCTGCCTGGCTCTACCTCCTGAGTGCTGAGATTAAAGGTGTGTGCCACCACTGCCTGGCACCTTTCTTGTACTTTCTGAGTAGTATTAATCAGTGCCTGGAAGATTTATTGAGTTTGAATTACAAGTATGTGAATGTTATCATTTTCTACATCTATTAAGATCATATTTCTTTTTTGCTTTATAGTATTTATGTGGTAAACTACACAGCAATACTGTTAAAAATATATTTGCTGAGCTGGGCGTTGGTGGCGCATGCCTTTAATCCCAGGACTCGGGAGGCAGAGGCAGGCGGATCTCTGTGAGTTCTAGACCAGCCTGGACTACCAAGCCAGTTCCAGGACAGCCTCCAAAGCCACAGAGAAACCCTGTCTCGAAAAACCAAAAAAAAAAAAAAATATATATATATATATATATATATATATATATATATATATATATATATATTTGCTGTCCCTGATTTTTAGCATGTAATACTAAAACATTCCAAATCTCTTATGTGATAAAGGTAGGGGTGTGTGTGTGTGTTTCTTGAAGCTGGGCACAGTGGTACTTGCCTGTAATTCCAGAACTGGGCAGGAGGAACGTGAGTTTAAGGCCAACCTTGACTATATATGTTGGGGAAGTCTTATGCTAATAAAGCACTGTCTGGCCAATAGGAATCTAGATAGGTGGGGCTAGGAATCCAGGAGGATTCTGGGTAGGAGAAACACAGGAGAGTCAACATGTGACGCCATGGGAGTAGGACACCGGGAACTATTCTCCGGTAAGAAACATACTTAGATTAACAATTATGGGGTAATTACTTAAGGCAGAGCTAGCCAGTAACAACAAACAAGGCCAACAGCTTCATAATTAATATAGCCTCCTGTGTGTTTATTTGGGACTCATGCGGATCTAGAACCAGGCTGGCGCGGCAGAGCCCAGGTGACTGGCGGGGGATATACCAAATCGGCAAGCAAGGAAAAAGCTTCTCTTAACATACATAGTGTTAGACACTGTTTCAAAATGGAAAAAGAAAAAGAAAGGCATGAGAGGCTAGGAGGGAAGGAATGGATGAAACATTAGCAAAATGTTAATCACTGAAACTGAGTGATTGCTATGAGGAATGGACCACACTACTCTATATTTGAAAAAAAAACCTCATTTGTTTCTTGAGAACACAATCTCACTGTGTAATCGTGGCTGACAGGTACTCTGTCCTGGAAGACCTTGAACTCTTAAGCAATCCTTTTGCCTCAGCCCCCTGAGCTCTGGGATAACAGGGTAAGCCACCATGCCTGGCTACTCTCTTTCCAAAAACATCCCTTATACAACTTTCCTTTCCCAGATTCTATGTCAGCTAGCAATTTTCTCTTCTGGAATAGTCTGTTCACATCCTTACTATCACAGCACATCATCATGCCTACTTTGGAATACATCCCTATGTGGATGGTTTATTTAAGGTTTCTTCTTTTTAAAAAATAGTTTATTATTGAGTATTCACCATTCACAGGGACTCTATTATGCTCTATGCATGGGTAATGAATAAAATAAATATGCTATCTACATTCGTTGCATGGAGAGTCAAGAGTGCAGACAGGGAAACAGTAAGTAGGCAAACGTGCAGTAAATGGTGGGCAGGAAACCTAAAGGATTCGGTCAATAGATACTACTTGGGAAAGCAAGGTATTTCCAGATAGTAATTAAGGACGATCTCTCAGAATAAGACGCTCAGATCTCAAGTACATGCGCGTTAAGGAGAGTATATTCACATCCTCCTCAGGCACGTTGACATTTCAGTCACAGGTGACAGTGCCGGGAGGCAAGCAGCACCTTTATTATTATAGTGCCAGCAAAACTTTTAAGTAGTGTAAGAATTAGAACACAGCAGGGCGGTGGTAACTCACCGGTAGGCAGGAGGATCTCTGTGAGTTCGAGGTCAGCCTGGTCTACAGTGTGAGTTCCAGGACAGCTGGAGCTATTATACAGAGAAAAACCCTGTGTTCTCTTTTTAACCGAAGGCCAAGTGAGTAAGGAAAACTGTCGTTAGAATGACTGACTACGCAGGCATCTATTCATCCATCAACACCATATTAAATTTGCAATAGCAAGGCTACCTATCGTGTTGACTTCCGTGTTTACTGTTTTGGATAGCCCTAGAACCCGTCAAAGATACTGGGCTGGCCTTGGAGAGTGCGAGGATTAAAGGTGTAGGCCACCATGCCCAGCTGCCAAGGGTAGGGTTGTTGCCCACCAGAACAACACAGAGAAGTCGCGGGGGCTCGTTAAGCTCTGCAACTAACAATGCGCGTAAAACTGAATTGAACAGAAAAGCTGACACCTGCTTATTGGAGAAAATAAAGGTTATTTGTAGTTTGCTTCGCCAAATCTCTACGTACATCCTGGCATGTTTTCTTCCAGTAGCTTTTACACGAGCTTTTACACGAGCGCATCTTTTAAAGCGGGGACTGGCTAGCACCAGCCAGTAATTGGCGTTGCCGTATGTGGCGGCGGAGGGCACCTTACGCCCAGAATTTTCTACTCCTGGGCTCTGTAGGGAAAAGGGACCAGTCAAAGAAACACACCCTGAGCAGAGCCAAAGAAACACACTTTGGCCCTGCAACCAGAACCAAAGAAATGTACCCTGACCCTAAAACCAGTGCCAAAGGAACACACTTTGTCCCTGGAATCAGAGTCAGTGAAAGAAATGTACCCTGGCCCTAAAATTGGAGCCAAAAGGCTAAAAAGGACCAGAGAAAGAAACACACTTTGGCCCTGAAACCAGAGCCAAATCTGACCCTAATCCTGTGTAAAAAGTAACCAATCCCGGAGCAGAGCTCTAGCCAATCTGAGCTCAGCACTGAAATCGGACCAATCCCTACCCTGGAAAAACTTCCCCAACCCCAGGAACCCCTATATAAACCCTGTGTATGTTCAGCTTGGCTGGTCCAGCTGTCTTCCAATAAACACCTTTGGATGAGCTTCGGGGTGAAGATCTTCTTTTGCGGCTGCGACAGAGCAAAGGCGACCCTGGGCAGAGCAGAGCAGAGCGAGCAGAGGCGACCCTGGGCAGAGCAGAGCAGAGCAGAGCGAGCAGCGCTGTAACACTTGCCCGGGAAACCTTCCTTGGCAGAGCGGAGTTGTTACACTCTGCTCCCGCCCGGCTCCCTGCTCTCCGCTCGGCTCTCCAGGAGCAGAGCTGAACTGTAGCAACTTCGCCCGAGAAACCTCCTGCGGAGCAAAACTGCTACACTAGGCGAACATCCCCAGCTGGAAGACCCTGTCCTGCCGTGCCGGAGCGGAGCTGACACACCGGAGAAGCCTTTCTCTGAGGCAAGGCTGTAAGCTGCCAAGCTTACTGCAACCCGTGGTGGTCCTTGGCTCCCGAGCTCCAGGATACCTTTCTACCTGAGCTGTGTAACACTCAGTATCCTTGGCTCCCGAGCTCCAGGATACCTTTCCACCTGAGCTGTGTAACACTGGGTATTCTGTGACTCCCGAGTGCCAGAATACCTGACCCACTCCTGTTCCATCCTGTCCTGACCCATCCCGACGAAACGCTTACAGGCTCTCCCTGCGTGGAGCAGCAGACAAGGCGAGCGACTGTCTGTGCGGAGCCGGCTGGGAGCCGGCTCGCTCACTTCCGCGGGCGAGGAGGGCAGCCTCATGCCCGGAGGTCCCTGCTCACGACCCACTGGCCCCATTGACCCACAAACCTCTTCCACCGCGCGGGCGATACTCCCAGTCCCGCTTGGGCCGCAAACCCCGCGATATCTCACCACTGACCCACCCACCCAACGGCCTGTTCTAAACCACTGCGCACGCGCCATGCGGTCCTTAACGACTCGGCTCCGCCCTTCTTTCGTAACTCTAGGGCTCGCCAGGCGCTCACCTCCACTGCGCCGCGCAATCCTTACTCCCGCCCTCGTAATCCCGCAACAGGTCTCTGATTGGTTACCTGGCCTCGCGGCCTGCGTGGACGGTGATTGGCTAGTGGTTCCGTCCAATCGGCGGCGGGCTGTCGGATTCAAATCCAGAGCGTTGGGCCTGCGGTCGTTGGCCTCATTCGAGTCGTTGCGCCGGCCCTGGGCGGACGTGTAGCTCCTTGCGCCCCATTTCCTGCTCCCGTCTTCTCCTCCGCGCGCCGGCAGGATGGCCCACAAGCAGATCTACTACTCGGACAAGTACTTCGACGAGCACTACGAGTACCGGTGAGCTGCGCCTGCGGGGGAGGGCCGCGCCGGGAGGCCAGACTCGGGGGACCCGGGGAGGCGTCCGTCCATCCGGGCAGCCGCGCTTGGCGTCGCGTACTTCGGGGTTAGCAGGGGCTGGGGCGTCAGATGGCTCGGCAGCGCCTCAGCCCGGAGTTCACGGCCGCACACGGCGCTCGCCGGGTCTGGCCCGGAGGGGAAGGCCCGAGAGAGGCTCCCGCCCGGGAGAGTCGAGTGTCTGCCGGGGAAACGCGACGGGGAGCGTTTTTGAAACAGCTTCGAGATCCGCCTGAGAACTCGAGGTTGCCCTGGGAAGGTTTGGGGTTTTTTCCTCCCTTACCCTCAACCGCTAGTGTGTTTTGGCCTGATTTGGGGCTTTTGAGGGGGTTTCGGGGTTTGAACCTTGAGACGGCCTAGGTAGTGTAATAAGCAAATGGATTGTGGGAAGTAGGGGATGATTACAGTTAGCTGGGTTTCGGCCGTGCCGGCCTGGGGCGTGGTCTCCAAGGCCTCTTTCCGCCGCTGGGTCCTACTGGCTTGGGACTAGAGCGTTGCATTCTGGGACACGGTCAAGATGCCCAGGTGGGTAAAACCTATGCCGCCCTCGGGACCCAGCGGTGACCGTGATTTTCTGTGTGCTGCCATTTTAGGTTAGTCGCCAGCATGCTGTTTGAGAAATAAGACACTTTTTTATAGAGAGTGAGCCCTCCTCATTTTCTCACGCCACAAGTAAAGTTCTCACAGCCTGAAAACTTTGTCTAGTCTGTTCAAGTCATTCTGCCTTTCTGAATAATTCCAAGTGTTTAGCATAAAGGCTTATGGGCTTGCATCCATTTCTTTAGGACTTATTGCCAGGGTGAGGTCGTTTTTAAACATGGGCTGTAAGTTGTGCTTGTTTGAAAGCAGCTGCTGGCCCGTCTTAAGTATTTATTACAGTGTAAGTTAGGAACTAGTCTACCCACTGCTGTTAGGAATGGAATGGAGCACTCAGGAGACTTTATTCTGAAACCAGGTACTGATTAAGTGACTTTGCAAGCTTGCCATTCTGCAGAAGTCTTGCCAGTAGCTGAGATTATGGGTGTGTCACCACAGCTAGTCTGAGCGTCATTGAGCTACCTTTACAAAGCGGGAGGAATTAGAAAAGGACTATGCGCTGGTGATACAAGACAAACAGGTTGCACCTCTTTCCCTAATATCATGGGAGCCTCTTTTTTTTTTTTAAGATGGTCTCTATAGCCTGTTTTCCTGGAACTCGCTGTGTAGACAGATATCTGGCTGCATCTGCCTCCCAAATCCTAGGAGTAAAGGTGTACTCCACGGTCCATGGAAGTCTTTACAGAAGGGTATTTGAGGATTTCTCTGGGTACTCTTAGAAAGTGGTAATATGTGGCACTTTTTTGTAGTCCAACAAAAACTGGGTTTTGGAAATACATATGGTCAATAATATAGGTAGAGTCGTTATGTGAGTTTGACACTGAAAAAACCACTGGCGGTGGTGGCACACACCTTTAATCCCAGCACTAGGGAGGCAGAGGCAGGCCGATTTCTGAGTTCAAGGTCAGTCTGGTCTACAAAGCTATACAGAAAAACCCTGTCTCAAAAAAAAGTACAATATAATCAAACCCTGGTAAAGTTCAACCTATTGACATGACTTATGTAGAAAGGCAGGAAGCAATGTATGTTTGTTTGAGGCAGGGTTTCTCTGGCTTTGGAAGCTGTCCTGGAACTTGCTCTGTAGACCAGGCTGGCCTCAAACTCAGAGATCCACCTGTATTTGTGAAAGTAAATAGATAGGCATCACATTTGCCTTTGAAACATGCCAATGGAAATATAAGATCACAGAGCATTTTGTTCAGTCTTAAAAACTGAGTATTAGGATGAAGCTGTGAAGATCTCCCTCTGCTACACAGAAAGACACCCTCCCCATCTCAAAAATAGAGTGTGTCCTGAAATTTGGCAATCCTTGCCTCTGCTGTGTTCTGTAGCATCTAACAACAAAAATAGTAAGTAGTATTTTAAGGAAGTGGTAACTGGTATGAGTAGGAATAGTTATATAGTTACCTGGAAATGTCTTGGGGGAGTGCTATGGTAGTAAGCATAATTTCGGAGTCATTTATCTTATACCATAAAGTTGTTTTAAGGATTATTTGCATTCAAAAATAGCCACAGCCTAAAATCTATGTTCTGGACAATTGGTGCTTAGGAAGGATTGTGGATTGAACTGTGATTCCCATGTCCAAAAAAACAACTGAATTTACACTTGCATATCTGTCTCACAGACTTAACATTAGTCAAAAATTGCTAATTACTAGCTTTGTATGAACTTACTACCAGAAAGGGTAAAGTGAGGCTGACAATTAGGTTTTAGAAAGAGATACTTTGTGATAATTAAATGCTCTGTTCAGGTAAGAATGCAGAATTGTTTGTACATATATTTCTTTAAGTTGTATTTGTTTTGGCCCTGAATCAAGACCATCAGTTTGCTGGAGCTGTTGGTTTCAAGCAGGAGCCTAAAGAAATGTCTTCCTATGGTCTGTTGGCCATTTCAGAAATTTGGAAATCAAATGGTCAATTCATTAGAAAGGAACAAACTGACTAGATGTTGTATGCAGTTCTGTAACTGTAGTACTTGGGAGCCTAAGGCCAACCTGCCCAACAGGAAGGAGAACACCCCTACCCATGAAACTTAGTATTGGCCTAATAATTGAACATAAGCCCTCAAAAGCCACAAGTATAGTTTATAGGGAATACCCACGATTGAAACAAATCTTATTGTAATCTAGAGTTGCTTTAAAGCAACCAGTTTGTTTTGAGGACAAACCTTCAAAATTTAAGTGTCTCAAAGGTACGAGTATAAAGTGATAATGGTGGGCACAGCACTAATCTGTGGCTGAATCTTTGACAGGCATGTCATGCTACCTAGAGAACTCTCCAAACAAGTACCAAAAACTCATCTGATGTCTGAAGAGGAGTGGAGGAGACTTGGTGTCCAACAGAGTCTAGGTTGGGTTCATTACATGATTCATGAGCCAGGTAAGCTTTGCTATAAAGTACTAACTAGATATAGTTGTCAAGGGTCAACAGCATAGCCGAGAAGCTCAACTAGTTTTGTAAATGACTGATTCCTTACTCCCTGAATAATGTTGTTTTATATAGTAATATATAAGAATAACAATAATACATTGCCTACTTGTAAAAGTGACTTTTTCAGCATAATACAATTTTTTAAATTCTGTGCCTATATAGAAGTTGATGCAATATTGTTAAACTCTTGACAATTAAAATCTGTTAAAACTTTCAAGGGACTATGACACATATTTAAGAGTTCAAAGATCTTCCCAGCCTTCCTCACACTGAATTGGGAAGTATTGGGTGAACTCCTGGTTTAGTTACCTTTAGGTATTAAAGACTTCCTACAGAGTCCAAGCTTGACTGGAACTCTCCACCTTTTATTAGCTAGTGCAGTGATTCTAGGAATACATTACCACCGCTTGCTTTCTAGTGGCTTGTTTTGTGTGCTGAGATTGGACCTTTGTGCTTGCTAGGCAAATACTTCACCATCATATATGCTGTATACAGCTATTCTATACCATATGTATGTGTCTAATTTTGTAGTGATTTTTCTGAAGTGTATTAGCATGAGATCCAGTAGCTACTTTGAAAGAGATGCCCTTTTCCCAAAGAGATAACATTTCTCTTTTCACTGGAAATGAGCTTTTACAGGTAGAAACCATTCTTTCCAGAGTAAACTTAAGATTTAAATAGTGGAGCAATGCTATTATGAGATAGTTTGCCTATGTTTAGTGTTATTATATTGAGTCAGTTGTTGACGTGAAACTTAATGATGAATATCTCCTTTCCACAGAGCCGCATATTCTTCTCTTTAGACGACCTCTTCCAAAAGAACAGCAAAAGTGAAGTGCAGCTGGGATCGCCTAATCCTTTTCAAATTTATTGTATATGTGTATATAAGGTAGTATTCAGTGAATACTTGAAAAATGTACAAATCTTTCATCCATACCTGTGCATGAGCTGTATTCTTCACAGCAACAGAGCCCAGTTAAATGCAACTGCAAGTAGGTTATTTTAAGTTGTTCAAGATAAATTTCCTTGTAGTGTTTTCTTAATATAAGTAGTGCCTGTTTTACTTTGCTGTTACTTTTGTTAAATAAAGTTTGTATGTTGCATTTATCACTATTGTTGAAATGAATTTGACTTTACTCAATAATTTACTCCTGGAAGAAATAAACATACTTGAAAAAGAAATACTAAGGTACAAATGATGGGATTATTGGGGTATTGATCTAGAGTCAAAATAAGACTTTCACTTTATTGATATTTTGATAATTCTATTTCCCAGAGTCTTCAAGTGAACAGAAAAACCCTAATACTAGTTTGTGTCCATAATATCTACAAAACACTAGTGGCTTCAGAGAAAACTGTTTTATTTAGAAGCACTCAAAGGTGATACACACCTTTAATCCCAGCATTCAGGAGGCAGAGACAGTGGATCTCTGAGTTTGAGACCAGCCTTGTCTACACAGAGTTCCAGGACAGGTCCAAAGCTACAGAGAAGCCCTGTCTTGAAAAACCAAAAAAGGAAAAAAGAAAAAGGCACTGAAACACACCATGTGTATGCATCTGTTTTGGAATGTCTTTTTGTCTCCCAGGAAACTGAGAAATCTATAGATCAATGAATGGCCAGTTACATAAGACCCTGGATAGGCTGGGACAGGCGAATCTTGTTCAAGGCCAGTCTGGTCTAAAGAGTGAGTTCCAAGACAGCCAGGGCTACACAGAAACCTCCTTCCCCCCAAAGAAAAGACCCTGATAGATTAACAAGGGTGACTTCACACGCACTAAGCACAGTAAACACTAGTGAGCAAGCCTTTGGTGTGTGCGGTATGGTAAACCTATGGGGCCTACCTGAACAAGAACTGAAGCTGTCTTGTTTCAAGTAAGGTTCCAGTGTTCAATTCTAAACCTGCCTTTGCCAAACAGATAGCTTGGCGGGTGACTTTCTGCCCTCCGTTCTCCCTTCCCAGTTCGGGGTTCTGCACGGTGTTCTCCAGACCCAGCACAGGTTTCCCAGACGAGTAAACACTCGACCCTTGTGTAGCTTTGGTTCCTAACCTGCCTGCCGGCACCACACGACATCCCATCTTGCCTAGAAACTCCGCACTAGCAGACACTGCTGCCGCCCTCTTTCCTCCATGAGCCTCCAGCACCGCGGTGATGGCTCACAGCCTGCCCTCCAACTACGGGCACATCCCGGCCCGCCCACGGCAGCAGGGCTCACAGCACCCTTCTGGGCCTGCCAGCAACCACCATCAAAGGCGGCTGTATCCGGCCTCTTCCCACGTGCGCCCCGTAGGCCCCGGACGCCGGGCACTTCCGGCATAAAAAGGCTTCCGTCGCCTGTCGGTGACGTACATCCTGGCGCTGCCGCGCCGGTAGGCGGAAACGTCTAGTCGTTGGTTGGGCCCTCCGCTCGCTTCACGGCGCGGGCTCTCCGTGGCCACCATGGCGTCGGAGCGGCCGCGGGAGCCCGAAGGCGAGGTAAGGGGCGGGCTGCGGGCCTCGGTACGCGCGCGGGGCTGCCAGGGCTGAGGCTCGGGGGTGGGGCGGCTTGACCCTCCCACGGCCTGGCCCGCCAAGTGATGCCACAGAGGCCACCTACCGCCCCCGGCTCCTCAGACCCGCGTCCGCACCCGGTGTGACCGCTAGGTGGCCACAGAAGTCCCTCTCAATTGGCCGAACACGGTGATGAAGTTGTCAGAATAATATTACTCCGCATTGCCAGACAGAACTCAATTTTGAATTCCAGGGACTTATGGCCAAGAGATGATTTTTCGCAAAGGTGATATGTAGTATATTATGTACAAATCCAATATTTGGTGCTATTTGTTGAAAAACTAAATGGCAATAAATTTCAAAACTACAGTTTTGAGCATTTCCTGGGTATATTTGACTACAGTGAGTTCAGGATTCTTATGTATCTCATGTATAAGGATAAGAGAGGTAAAAATAACTGTTTCCAAGTTTAAATCCACAGAACCAGTCCAAGTTGTGGTTCTAATTACATAACAATGTTGAATTTGACTTTAAGGTCAGCATTTTCACTTTTAAGGTCCAGGAAACTTTTTCTAGTAAAAAAGCATTAGGGAGATATTGTTGCCAAAGAAATTTTTGTCTTTGCACCTTTTAATCAGCATTGAGCCTGTTAGAACATCTTTCTTTTGGTTTTTGTCTGTCTGCATTTGGTGAATCTCAAGAGTGTCATAGCCCAACCCACCCTTTCTTCCTCAGGATAGAGTCAAATTGTCAGCTGATGTCAAACCATTTGTCCCTAAGTTTGCTGGGCTCAATGTGGCATGGTCAGAGTCATCAGAAGCTCGAGTCTTCCCAGGCTGTTCGGCCAGTTACCATCCATTTGTGCAGGAGTCTCCGGTGACTGAGTATGTATGTTCTAAATGTCTTGCCTTATGTAAGAGGATTACTTCCTGGAGACCGAGCTAATCACATACCTCCACATACATGAAGCTTGCTAGCATCTTGCAGGCCAGGAAAGGACTCTTCGCCCAAGAAAGAGCCGGGTCTGTATTTAAACATTCAGTGAGGAAGGACAGAGGTGACTAAAAGTACAGTTGCAGGTTCATTTGTTCACGGTTAAAAATCACACAGTTAGGAACTGACGCTGCCCCTCAGCAGTAGAGTGCTTGCTTGCCATTGTCCGGCCCTGGGCTTCATCCTAAGCCATCCAAGCAAAACTGAGCCGAACAAATTCACATTTGTATCGGAAAACGAAATGACAAGAGGGAAGGGGGCAGAGGAAGGATCAGATAGATAACATTTCAGACTGGACAACTTAGCAAGACCTTGTCTCAAAACAAAGTAAGAAGTAGACTGTAGTTCTATAGCTATAGCTTTCTGCCATACAGAAGGCCTCAGGTTCAATCCCCAGTCTATTGACTGATTATTAAGGTGCCCATGTTGTGTGACTCCTGGCCTCTGTGCTGTGCAGTATCCCCTTTGTGCTCTGGCCCTCACAGCACAGTGCAGGATTTGATGGAGGGGTTGAAATGGGAAGGATCCCAGGGTCCTGGAGAGAGGCTGTGCAAGCTGGAGGGCAACTCCTCAGCAGAGGTAATGAACGGCCTGTTGGCTCTTGAGTCCAGGGCTGTAGAGGCATTGTCAGGAACTGGATGGACAGTAGGGTGCAAAACTCTTGGCCCATGTGCTTCCTGTGCTGACACTACAGAGCAACTTCCTTTTTAACTTGTAACTACTTTGTGGTGGTACGGGTTAAACCCATGGCCTTGTGCATTTCATGAACGCTATCTACCGTTGAGCTCCCTTGCCCAGCCCTAGTTTGTTAGTTCTAAACAAAACAGCAGCAGCAGCCTTTGCAGGAAGAAAAGGAGGTTCTCTTTGGCTGTATGTGCATGCACATGTGTGTTGTGTATGTGTGTGGTATACATGTGTGTGTGTGAACGTGCACATGTGTGCGTATACACGCGGAAGGCTGAGGTTGATGTTGAGTCTTTCCTTGGTGCTTTTCTTTCTTGAGAAAGAGTCTCGCTGAACCTGAAGCTTGTCAGTTGGCTGGAATGGCTGGCCAGGAGCTTCAAGGATCTGCCCTTCCCAGCTGTAGGCTGGGGTCACAGACACACTGCCATGCACTGCCCTTCACAGGCCCTGGGGACCAGACTCGGGCCCTTGTGCTGTGGTGCAGGCACTTTACTAACAGCCATCTCTCCCAGGTTTGGCTGTTGATAGGGGAGTTTCCAATGCTGGAGTAAATGATCCTAGAAAATTTGAAGCATTTAAATTACTGTCTTAACAAAAAATTAACATCCTTGGTTTGTGTTATGAAATCTGCAACTGAAATTTACACTTTTTAGACAAAAAGTTTATCCTGAAGACATGGCCTTTGGAGCCCCTGCATTCCCAAGGCAGTACGTATCTTCAGAGGTAACACTGCATCCGTTTGCCTATTCCACTTATGCCCTTGAGTCTGCACAGAGTGTCTGCTCAGTGCCAGCCCTGCAGATTGATTACAGCCAACCTCAGTGTCGCCCAGGCTTTCGGACAGCAAAGCCCCAAAGTGAGCATACATGCTCTACTCCTCAGGAAGCAAAAGGTATATTTAAGGTGAGGAAATGCTTCAGTTTTGATATTGATCGTTTGATTGTTTAAATTGTAAGAAGTTAGTTGGAAGCAACCTAGATGCCCCTCAACCGAAGAGTGGATAGAGAAAATGTGGTACATTTACACAATGGAGTACTATTCAGCAGAAAAAATACCCAATGGAATCCTGAAATTTGCAGGCAAATGGATGGCACTAGAAGAAACCATCCTGAGCGAGGTAACCCAGTCACAAAAAGAGAAACATGGCATGTACTCTCTCATATATGGATTTTAGATCTGGGGAGTGCCAGCCTATAATCCCATGGCCAGAGAGTCTGGGAAACAGAACCTTCATTCAGTAGCTGATGGAAGAAGAGACAGACTCCCATGGCTAAGCACTGAGCTGAACTCAAGAAATCTAGTGACAGAGAGGGAGGACTGATGACCAAAGGGATTAAGACTGGGCTGATTTAGCCCCCAGAAACAGCTGACCTGACAAGGGTTAGCTCTTAAATCCCAGACTGATGCCTGGGAATCCAGCATGGGACTGATCAAGACCCCCTGAATGTAGGTGTCAGTGAGGAGACCTAGGTAACCTATTGAGCCTTGGGTAGTAGATCAGTATTTATCCCGAGTATACAAATGGACTTTGGACTCCCATCCAACAATGAGAGAGGCACTCTTACCCTGAACTCTTGGGGGAGGATCTAGGCCCTGCCCTGTATGTAATAACAGACTATGGACACCTCCATGGAGGGCCTCACCCTCCCTGGGGAAATGAGGGGATATTGGGAGGGTTGGTGGGAGGGCACGGGAGGAGGGGAGGGAAACGGAGAGGGACCTGGAATTGACATGTGAAGCAGCCTTGTTTCTAATTTAAATTTAAATTTAAAAATAAAAAAAGACATAAAAAATAAAAAAATGTAAGAAGTTAGTATGTTACATAATATTTAAGTATTGCTTACCTTTTTATGATAATCAGCCTTTTTACAAGTGATTTGGTTTATTCTTTCCTTAAATGCTTGGGTTGTGAGCACTTTCTGCTTTGCTCTGTTAAAGTT